AGTGGAGGCTCCCAACAGCATTCACACCGTGAGGTAGGCCAGAGTAGTAGGGGACAGACTTACACGTCCCCTACAGCGTCCTCGCAGTTTGGTGAAATCTCGGAGGATTTCACTATACCCATGTCTGCGCCATACTTATCACAGGAGGGACCGTCATCCAGCCAACAGACTCCTCCCCCAGATCCTTTCAGAACTCCTCCCCCATGTAACTCATTACGTTCGTCGTCGAAGACCGCGAGTTGATAGAGAGCAATTACGTCGAATAGATGAATCAGGATCTAATTGCTTTTGTTAGTTTGTTGTAATCGGATTCTCTAGTAAGTTGTATACAAACAAATATTATTAATATAATTGACTTTTTTTAACTGATTTTTTTTCCATTTATCAACTTTACTGTACGCATTCATGATTTTTAATGGAATTGGTGGATGAAGGTTGTTAAATTGTTGATTGTAGGTGAACGAAGTGGTTGTTTGTGGTGGTTGGTGTTAGTTGGGAGTGGTTGATGTGGTGGTTGGTAGCTGTGGAAGTGGTGGTTGGCAGTATTGGCGTTTTATGTTCAAGGTAAAAAGTTGCAGAAAAAACGCCACCCAGGGTAGCGTTTTTGGCATTTTACCCTTGGCAGAATATTTTTTAAACATTTCAGTTAGGGGGTAAAACGCTACCCTGGATGGCGTTTTACCCTCAAGTTCCGTTTGGTAAATAATTTTGCCACGTGACTAATATTAAGTATAGTTTCTTAATGAAGCTTCCTTTGGTAATTTTTCCGTGTTTTGGTCATCTTCTACATTTAAAATTGGATTGGGCATATGATATGTTACCAGACAGCTTATTTCAATGTCTAATTGGCCATAGAAGTCTCGTAGATAAATCAAAACTTGTGAAGGTGACCTCGCTTTTGGCTCAAGGTGATGAGAATTGGGCCAACTAATTAAGGAAATTAAGTTAAGGGTTACAAATATAATGGCTAGTAATTTTGGGCCTAAACCAACTGAGCAATGAGTTGAGATTCTCAAGTAGCTAGATATGAAGGAAAATTGGGAGAGAATCAAAGCTGACTGATCCCGTGAATGTTTCTTTAAATGACAAGTGAAAACTTTCCTTTTAGGAGAGAAAAAGGACTCAAAGTATAGTAAATTTGCCTATTTTGTTTTATAAGTTTAGTATGATTGTATGTTGATATCTGGAATAGTGATATTACAGGCGATTTAAGATTGACGAGATTGATACTGGAGAAAAGTAATCTCATTGTTTCACTGGTAATTAAGTCTGATTGAGACTAGACAAATATATTGATTAAAATTTAACCAAAATAATGTAAACAACCTACAATCTGTATAACTATAACATGATATTTTGAGAAAGGACATTTACATCACTTCTCATAATTTATTATTATTATTTATGTAGATACAAATTTTCCTATCTACAATTTAGGCCTTTTATTCTTCAATGACCTTTCTTCTTCAATCACAAAGTTAAAACTTAGTTGTCCTACTAAATACGGAGAATACAATACAAGTAGATGTGCAAATATTTTAATTAGACGAAAATTTTAAAAAGTTGGAGAATTGCCGACATCTTGGGCTTGTCCTTGTTAGAGGACAAGTTGGGTTGATAGTTGTATCATAACTGTCATGAGCCGACATGTATGGGCCCGTTTTATTGGACCCTAATTAGCCACTTGTACCATGTGAATATGGTAGTTAGCTCAGTGGGTGTATGCCGTTATCTACTAGTGTTGTGACTCACGTTAACCCTAATTTGAAATGACTAAATTACCCATGTATTTATCACCCATTTCAAGGATAACATGATTTAAACCCATTAAAGAACAAAGTAAAGTTATGCCATGTGACCCAACCAAAAATAAGGCGTTGTAATCAGCCCTACGCTGTCCAAACTCCTAAATTCTATCCCTCCCCTATCCCAGATTGATTCATGGATAAGATCTCTTTCGGGGCTTATTACTCCTTTCATCTCTATTTATTCTTTTTGTTTTGACTTTTATGATCTCGAAATTATATTTTAAGTAGCTAGAATAATAGAAAGAATAAATATAAAGACGAAAAGGTTTATACTTTTCTTTTGTAACAAGGAGTACTATATATAAAGGAATATCTCTCATAAGGTTAGTTGCAAGTAAATGCCTAACATACCAACAAAAAAAGCTTAAAAAGAGCAAACTTGTTTGTTCTAAGAAAATGGAGTGCCAAAAGAAAATGATGATGGAACATCATAAAATGAGTGTGTCAAGGAAAAAGAAGCCGAAGAAGGAAGGTGAGATCAATAATAAGAACACGCTAGGAGAGGCGGTCGTGGTGGCGGCGACAGAGGAGAAGAGAAGGTATGATGCTAGTAACAACAATTATAGTAGTAGTATAGAAGCAAACATGTTAACTTGTGATGATCAACAAGATAGGGAAGATTGGAGGGTGTGGTTGAAGCCAGGGATGTTGGTGGATGAACAAATGTCATGGGGTTCAATTTGGTTTTCATTTTGGGATGTTGATGCTAATTGTAATAGTGATGCATTTTATAGTGATGTTATGGAAGATGATATCTGGGACTTGAAAAGTATCAAACATACTCCTCAATGAGAAGATCTTGATTTATGTTATATAGGTGGGATTATATTTCCTCTGTTTTTTTATGCTTTGACAACTTACATATAATATGGGATATGAAGTCAAATGATAGATTCATCGACCATTGCCCTTGCAGCTCTCTTTACGACTTTACGTCTGTCAAGCATGTGAAAAGTATTGCCCTTGCGACTCTCTTTACGTTTACAAGTATGTGGAAAGATGTTTGGACGTTGTATATGGTACAAATTTAAGTAATATTACGATTATTTTACCATATCACCATTCGTTTGTTCATTTCTGCCCGGTTGGGGCAAGTATGGTACAAGGTATGCGTGTGTTGTAGTGTATATGGAATTGACCTGTAGTTTATCATCCCAATTCTTCCCATATCGCAAGCTACTTGTTTAACAACTACTCTGAGATAATGATATTAAATACCCTTTGTATGATGTTTCATTTTCGAAGAATTTGTAATTTATATTCAACTCCTTTATGTTGTATTCAAGAATTTTCTTAGTAATTATGGATAATATTTATGGATTACGTATCAAGTAGGTAAAGCGAATAAATATATACTTGTGTGACAAAAAATTAATTAATTTATTGGAAGGTTATATGACATCCATAGTACGAAGTATAATCAAAACCAAACAATTGGATGTATGCTTCTTGTATCAGATTGGATAAAATAAAAATCCCTATTAGAAAATTTATAAAGGTTACGGATGAATTTTGACACTTCTTCAATCTTAATGCCCCTTTGAATTTCTTTTTCACTATTTAGCCTTCTACAGACTTATATGTTGTATGATCAGATTTTAATTAATGACACAGATTTGCGAAAAAAAAAAAAAAAAAAAGCATAAATCTCCGTTAAAAAAGTCAAGTAGTAATAAGAAAAAAAAATGAAATCAAAACTCCTATCAACTAAGATTATGTTCAATTCACCTTTATAAAAAATAAGATTAAGTCTGAATAAGTTTTAATTAGCAAGAATTAGTTTTAATATGTAAAAAACAATTATTTTTTAATTTTTGAGACAAAATCAATTATTTATTAGTAAAATTCAACTACGTAGTGTAACTAATAAAAAATCAATTTTGAAAAAAAAAGTTACTAAAAAGAGCACACTAAAAATAATTCAATTGGATCGGTTTGAGGCATGGCATTGGCGCATAGTCCAGCAAAAAAAAATATGTAGGCACGACACGACATGTTACAATGTATGTTGGGCTTTAGCCACCTTTATTTGAGAGAAGCACCACAAATATTCTGAAATCAATTAAACATGTTAGGGACACAAGCATGCTTGATCCGAGGCGGTGGCAAGGGAGCGACCTTTTGAAAATTTTGGCCCAACATGGTACAGGCATGGGCGCATGGCAAGTAGCTCAAGGGTTGATCCATGTGCTGGGCTTATCCAATCTCAAAGCATGTGGGCTTGATGATCGAAACAAGGCACAACTCGACACGACCCACAACCATCTTTTCATATAAACAAAGAAGTTAATGGTCAAAGTTAATATAGTATAATGTAAAAAGTCAAACCAATACATCCATTGAGGAATAAACAAAAGTACAATTCTTTAATGTGAAGAGAACATGGTCTAACATGAACAAACTAAATACACTCATAAAGTATGGACTCAAACATAGAAAAAAGGTTGAAAATCACCAAATTCCCAAAAAGAGTTAAAAGTCTAGAAACTGAAAATAAACTTTTATCCTACATAATTTGTTTTTGTATTTTTGCTTAATTTGAATAATACACGTTTGACCATTTATATATATTATTTCATACTAGTGTAAATTAAAAAAATAATAATAATAAAAAAAAAAAAATATACTACATCCGTTTCTTATTATGTACAACAAAAGGGTATTATATGTTAGATATTAAATATTAAAACAAATTTAACAAGACTATACACAATAGTCTTCGTTCTTATTTATGAAATTATCAAAAAAGGTAAAAGAAAGAAATAATAATAAATAATTAAATAAATAAATATGTTCAAAGTAGAAGGGAGGAGAACATTTCTATTTTTGTCTCTGGTCAAACTTCGAGCTTAAAAATTGTTTTGAGCTCTATACTTGGTTATTTCTACGCATTTTAAAATCTTAAAAATTAATATGAGCAAACAAATATCAAATGAACAAAAAAACTTATCCTTAGATATTTAGATGCACCTATCTTTATGTGCACCCAACTATATTATATATAAAAATGTTAAAATTATGGATACAGAATTATGGAGTATATATAATCTATATACAGTAAGTGGTTTTCAATTTTATTCCCTTCAATATTAAACTCAAATTATTATTTTTTTGGAAGGTGTTACTTTTTTGTGCATAACATAATAGCAAAAAGAAACCACTACAGCCTCAGCAAAGAGAAAATACAGAAAATGATCGAACCATTCACCCTGCTTTCCTTTAATTCTTTTTTCACAAAAAAAAAAAAATAAAATAAAAATAAATAAAAACATGAAAACCACGAGAAACATGAGCAGTAAAAAAGCTCAAAATTACTAGTTTTGTTATCTAAGTTCTAAAACTGATTTGTATCTTACCCCATATTATAGACATGCCAACGTTCACCGAAATGATCTATATAGTTTTCACTTCAAGAATGGAGGAAATGCACAACTCTTTAAAGTGACTTTTAGTCGCTTCAAATCTATAGCATAACTATTTGTAACCAGTCATTCCGACAGTAGAACTGGAGCGATTTGCCTTGTGAGATGCTGTCTGGGAGCTTGTAGCTTTGGAAAAGTATAAGTAGTAGTACACGTTTAAGACCATGTTGAAAACCACAAATACAGCTCCCGCAATAAAAACACCTTTGCGCAGAGTCTCACATGAGAAGTTCTGTGCATAGAGTACATGACGGTACTTGGTATGGTAAGCATTCTTAGTTGCACCTGCAAGTAGACATGCCTCCGCAACCAGAAATGTTAGCCTGCACATAGACACATAAGAAAAATGTCAGCTACCACCTTTACAGAAATAAACCCGGTCAGAATCCTTCAGGCAGGTTTGAGTGTCATCAATTAAGAAAGTGAAAGATCAAACATAAACTATGAGCAATAATGCAAGCCACAAGATAAACAAAGACAAATTATAGGAGGTTTGGGAGTTCAGACTGAGTCCTTGACAGGCAAATGAAAATTGTTGAGCTTTTGAGATATCGCCCTTTTGGTTTTGGAGTTAAGACAGTCCTTGACAGGCAAATGAAAATTGTTGAGCTTTTGAGATATCGCCTTTTTTTACTAATAAGTTGGGAGCATGAATGGTGAGAATTAATACTACGTATGAGAGAATTTGAATCCATTCCATTTCAAAAGATGCATGAAATAAAGCTGTCTATTTGCATCAAATGCACTTCACTCACTTACAGTAAAACTGACAGTAATTGTGAAAGCTGAAAATTCTTTAACTTATATACAGTAGAAATGATTAAAATGATAACTTCTTTACAAATAGTTCAAATATACAAAATGTATTTTCTTGTAAAAAACAGATATGCAGTACAATGGTTACTTTGAAAAATTGATCCAAAAAAAAAAAAAAAACCTTTGCAAAAAGTCAGGCAAGAGGCAGTTTAAGAATTTCATGACCGAGGTTCTAAAAAAGTAAATAACAGTTATTTGTAACAAGTCAGTCCAGTTTTCCAGAGTAGTAACATCGACAAGGATCTGAAGGAAGGTTTCTAAGGAAACTATCAGCTGATGCTGATGTGTATGGCAAGAGGGGATTATCCAGTGAGATTCCAATGGTGAGCACTAAGCAGATAGGTGTTGCTTATGATTAAGAGCAGAATATGTCCCCTAGTTTCCAAAAATCTAGCAGAAGTTATCTGTTGCAAAGGACAATAATTTAACATTCGAATAATGTGCATGAAAAATGATGGCTGGTATTATACTGTTTCTTGTTGACAAAACCAAGACTTCTCAAGAATAGAGAGATTCTCACCATGACGAGAAAAAGTAAATGATAGCCCATGCTCGTTCATTACCAGGTGCCAAGGGTCTACCAAAGCACATGCACCTTGTCATACCCATAAGCACTGATTCACTTGAAAGAAGAAACAGAAATCCCCCTACTCCATATCCAGTAGCAACATCAGAACTGTAAGCACAGTATGTCGTATTGGTGACTTCATCCTTAATTATATTACCCTGTCACAGAAAAATATATTAGTTATAGAGAAGATTCCTCAAGCTACTGTCAATTAAGTGAGTTCAAGGCCCCTTTTGCACTCACAAACAAATATCAGTATCATTATGCTCTAGTCGGGTACTCAGTTTAAGCATGGAAATCTTAACTTCACAGGCAGGTAAAATATTATGTTAAGTGCTTCTCAACCTTCTGAAGTACCTAAGCTACTCGATCTATGCATTTTTGGACACTTTATTCATTTGGCTTTAGGCAGTCCACAGGCATAAGAAAGCAGTAATAATTAATTCAATGAGATTTCTGGTTCATTCTGTATCAACTAGCAGGCAAAGAGATAGGAAGCAAAGCTGCTCCAGATAAAGAGATTATATTTCTCCAGCCATTGCAATATATTTTCCATACCTTCGAGTTCTTTAATTTCAGTTTTTGCAAGAGCTGACTGATGTTTGGATTTTCCAGAAGCAAGGTTAGGCTACTCATAATCAATGCTAATTTCTAACATCTTGCAAATGAAAATGTCAATTAGAAGGAGGGAGAGCTAACAACAAACTCTCTGCTTGCACCTTGACACTCTCAACATGAGAAGCATGCAGAAAAGTTGTTCAATCTCCATTTCTCAAAAGAGAAGTAGTAAACAAAATTGTCAGGAAGCAACCAAGTCAATAGTGGGAACTTATAGAAGCTTGAGGAGATAAAGTTCCTATTTGGTTTGTCCCTTTAACTTCGCCCAATATCATAAATAGCCATGAGGGACAACAAATTCACTCTCACATACACTACTTCTGGTTCCACCAATCATCACTCTCATCAATGCTAGTATGCTACCCAACCAAAACCTTAAAATGTAACAATACCCCAATGGTGAAATCTCAAAAGGAGGGAGTACCATAACAAAAGTATCAGGACAAGGATTGAAGGAAAACCAAAGTCAATGCAAAGGAACTACATGTCAAGGGCAGAGTAAGTAGAAGTAAAAAAAGGAATTAAAGTCCAGGATGGAGCAAGCAAAAGCATGTAATGTGAAATTTTCTTTAACCTTAATTTTCATGTAGTTATAACCACACTGCTCATAAGTATAGCAATGCTTTCAAGAGTTTTAAACCTCCATCATAAACTGTTCAAAGCTTAAGTGTACAAAAGCAAAATTTAAGTGTTTTTCTAGTAGAAAAACTCATGTATTCTCTCATAATTTGAAAGATCACAGTACCCCATCATATTTATACAAACGACCCAAATAAATGTATATAAAAACGATAGTCGCATATCTAGAATGTGCATCAATAACGAGCATACACATCAATAACAAGCTTAAGTGTACAATAGCAAAGTTTAAGTGATTTTCTACTAGAAAAACTCATGTATGCTCTCATAATTTGAAAGATCACAGTACCCCATTATATATATACAAACGACCCAAAAAAAAGTATATAAAAAATGATAGTCACATATCTAGAAAGTGCATCAATAACGAGCATACACATAATAAGGTTTAACAAGGACATCCTAATTTAGAAAGTCTTGTTTGTGACTTGTGAGCAAGAGAAAATCCGTTAAGTCCAACATATGTTTTGAGAATCAATAGTTGATAGGAAATGCTCACTGCCTAACTCTAATTCAGTAGTTGGTCCATAGCCTCATATTCATGTTCTAATATATATAACTACTACCTCCTTTCCCAAAAGTTCTCAACATTTACTATTTGCACAGAAATTAAGGCAATTGGAGAGACAAAATGATAAAGTGGTGAGTAGCTGTAAGAAACAGGTTTATAAATTAGGAGAGAGGGTGAAAAAAGCTATAGGTAGATAAGTAAGAGAAAGTGAGTGAAAATGTGTAAATATAGTAGGGTGAGAGGGAAAGGTAGTAAAGGGATTCGCCAAAAATTGAATAAAGTAATAGTGTTACTTCATAACTTTATGAAACATAAGAAAAAAGGAGCAACGGAGATTTTATAATTTTTTAAGAAAATTAAACTGGAAAAATTCGACATAAAAAATTTCACAGTAACAAAAAGGTCATTAAAAACATTGAAACAAGGTTACTCGACAAATACTCATTCATGAATGTTGAAAGTTAAAAGCTTCACTAGTGCTTTTAATGATAAACATTTACATGAAACTATAAATTTGACTCATTCTACAAATCCACAGCAAGAAAATAGAATGGACAAGATATTATAAAGCAATCTAAATCATATAGCATCTTTCAACAGCTAAAACATCTAAATTTGCAGTCATTGCTCCTCCTTTTCAGGTATAGCAGCCCCACCACCCCCCCCCCCCCCCAAACATCAATAATACAAAGTAGATAATCTAAAACAAGCCCAACGTGAAAGTTAAGAGGGAACACAACTTAACAAGTCTTATAATCTAGATAGAGAAAGAAAAACATCATATTGCTTCAACAGTCAAGCCTCGTTACATTAAGTTAATATCATAAAGAACATAAGCTTACATACTTCAATATTTTACATCATAATCAAGTCAAGCAAGCGGAGTGCAACAGTGATCCACTTATTTTGCAGAAAGCCTTCTGGAAATAAACACTTAACCGTTGGTCTCCACAATCAAGGTTTGGCACAATTATAGAATAGACCTCAACAAATAAGGAATCAGATGACGGAAGCATGTATATCAGTATATTGCATATAAGAAAATGGGGCATATTTCAAACAGGCTACCAATATCATAGATGTCTACAGGTTATCTTATAGACAAGAGGCATTTGCATCTCAATGACAAAACAATTGTCAAAGAAATTGATAAGGTTACTCTTCGGTTATTTAAGCAAATTTTAATCTTATCCAGACAATCACAGAGCCAAATTTACCAAATAGAATAAACTAAAAAGTTATATGCATCGTTTTCGTCTCGATCTATCCTCAGGTATACCCTTATGTCCCTTATCTTAACTCACCTTCTCTAGTCCTACATGTTATTATGTTAACATTGTTTAATAGCTAAATATCCAGAAATTCCATTTGATTCTGAAGTTATCAATACTACTCATAAAGGAAAGTGCAATAAAAAAAAAAAAAAAAAAAAAAATAATGACAGCTGTCAACTATTTAATGCTATTAGGCTTTATCAAATTTACTTTCAGCAGGATTTTTTATTTATCAAAATATCCTACATTATGTCCTTAAAATACTTTATTCAGAGACCAAATTTCATCATGTAAGGTAAAACAAGAAATGAAAATCATTTTACCTAGTAAAATTTAACAAAACCTTACACTAGTTTCAATAACAATAAAAGAAAAAAACACGTGAAGTAAAATTTGAGAGAATTTTGTATCAGAAAAAACACCAATGATCTGTATTGGAATGATAGTGCTGTTCATTAATAATGGTTCATGAGTACTACCTCTGTTAAATATTAGTTGCAACTTTAGGGTATTATTTGTGAGATATAAAATATTCCAAAGTTGAAACTAATATTTAATGGAGGTAGTATAAATCATTAAAGACATTCTATTGTTGCAAACGTCCTTTGTGGTACTCACTCCAGTCTAAAGTTAGTGTCAACTTTACTAACTTCTCCATATAATTTGTCACTTAAAGTTCTCATTTCACTATTACATGTCAGCATAAACCCTACTTAAATATCGCCGTAAATTTTAACTGCTAATGTAATTACAATGTCTCCTGATGAGATAGTGAACAAGTTGACCAGTTCTGTATAACCTTCATAGGCAATCATTTGGAAAGGGAGAGAGTACAATGCACCCTCGATTTCTTTGTTTAGTAGGAAAAAATCGAACCTGTAATTAATCCACCTACGCTAAGGCAACAGTTGAGATTAGCGCTTTAAAGGGGTCTTGGAAAGAAAATAAAAAGCAGCAATTCTCAAATTTCAATGTCTTTGTTACAATACTCAAATTGACCAAGTTATATCTCAACAACCATTTTCCATAACGGAATTGGCTAGCTGGCCAAGCTCTTTACTTCAAAAAGAGGAATATTAAAGAGATATTCTTCAGGACACGGGTTTGGTATTGAACCCTCAAGCTATGTACAGGAAGAGGGATGAAATCATTAATGGCACACCAGAAGGAACCTAATTAGAATATGATAAAAGTAAGGGAATGATAATGAAATTTTGTGTGCAACTTGATAAAGATGTCCCCACATGTGCGTACATCCATTTCCAAACACGCTCTTCACAAACTTAAATTACACTCGTTACCATCTACCACCTTGAGAGAAAACCACACGTTTGCAAATAAAGATGCATTAAAGTACCTTAGAACTTTAGAAGCTTATACTTAATATTCATCGCAGTATCACAGATGAACCAAATGAGCCATATTTGCAAAAGATGAAACTGATAATCTGGTAGAGCAGCTTATCAAGTCACAACTTGCTAAGCCCAGGACACTACATTCTCCAAAGCCTAATCATTGACTAATCTGTTCAATTTCTAAAAAAAACTACTAATCGTTAACTTTATCCTTCATCAGTGGTTGCGAATTACTTAAACTTATAATCGTATTTTTCTCTGAATATTTCCAAGTAACTCACAGCTCGACGGGCCAAGGAGGGTTGAATTTCTTCACAGCTTTCACCCTCGATTCGTGCAATGGTTCATTTACTAATCCATTGTACTTACTCAGTAAATTGCCTATAATTATCCCAAATTTCTCACCCTACATAATTCACCCTCTATCTTCAACCTAATCAATACTACATTAATTTCCCTAATTAACAATTAAATCACCTAAAATCAGAAAATTACTACAGTAAAAAAAAACTTTTGATACTGATCCATTACTAACTTACTTTAAACCCTGGAATTCAATCAAAACTGAAAAACAATCCCAAGCAATTAACCGCAATCAAAATACTGAATATTACAAATTCACATCAACAATAATTATAATAATTGCACAAACAATGATTCTATTAAAACAAATAAACAAGCACAAAATAATGAATTGAATCAAAAAAGATTAAAAATAAAAATAGAAACTTAAAAGGAAAGAAAAAGAGGAGAGAAAAAGTACACGGCTGCGGCGGCGTTCGGCGGCGATGGCGAAAGTAAAGGCAACTAAGCAGAGAACAACCACCAGTAGATACACCAAGCTCGAACCTCTTCCTTCTCTCATTTTTTTTTTTTTTTTTGGATTTTTTTTTCTGAGAAATTCGACTTTCTAAGTGAGAGAGTGAGATTAAGACAGTGAAAGTGGAGAGCAACCAAAAAAAAAAAAAAAAAAAAAAAAAAAGGTGCTTTAATGCATGTGCTTTTTGGTGTCAAGTGAAGTAGTGAAGTGTGAAGTAGTGAAGTTGTGAACACTGTACTTACTTAGAGAGCAGAGCAGGAGTAGCTCTTGAAATCATGTAATGTTTGTCGGATTAATTATTCTATTCTTCTTCAGATTCCTAATCCTAATTTACTTTTTAGCGCTTTAGAGGGGTTAATGTCTTAATGATAAACTAAGTAAGCTCCCGTCAAGTTTGTGTTGAAATTATAAATGGAGAGATGAGAGAAAGGAAAGTGAAAATGGCTTTGTGTTGGGCCGGTATCCCACCTAGTCCAGCCCTGGCCCATGGTAAGCCCACACCGGCTCATTATTGTTAGGGTTAGGCTGCATGCCTAGTTTTTTGTGATTTAGGTCGAGTTCAGCCTTATAAATTCTTAGCTACACATTGGTGCTGCTAACTTAGCTACAACAATTATATATATGAATATATGGTACTTGAAAAATGAACATACGTTTTTTTCCCTTCCTTATATTTTAACTTTCTCTTTGTTCTTTCTTACCTCTATTAATTTGTTTTCTCCTCTTCTTTTTTCCTTTCCTTATAAATTAATTTTCTTTCTTACCTCACTTTACTTCAATCTCTAAACTTTTGTCCTTCTACTTCAGATATTCTCCAATTCGTCACCATTGTAGCATTTCCATCGTCATCATCTTCGTCGCCATCGTGAATTTTTGAAGTAAATTTGATTTTTTTTTTTTAATAAAAATGTGAATGTTATAAAATTGTTGATTTCTATTAATTTTGCATTTTTATTCCTAATCTATATGTTAGATCAATAACTATTGTCTCTATGATGAACTAAGATTAGATTTAAAGTGGATATTCAAATTTTTAGAGTTAAAATAATTGCAATTGAACTTGTGTATAGTTTCTGGAAAAAAAAAATGAACACACATCACTTTAAATTTGAACATTTTGTACAAAATGAACATTTAGTACATAAAAAAATTAACATATTTTAACTACTTATTTTATCTTTATTTTTCGTTAATAATTATATACAATGAATTTGAACATATATGAAAATTTATGAAAATCATGTTCATTTTTAATATACTAAATGTTCATAATTTTTTTTTACGTGTTCATTTATTTATGTGTTTATTCTTTTTATACTAAATGTTCATCTTATTTAATGTGTTCATATATTTTTATGAAATGTTCATTTTATTAGGTATGGTTCAGCTACTATAGTTGTATGATAAACATTCATTTTTAATATACTAAATGTTCATATTTTATATTGACGTGTTCACTTTTTATTAATGTACTAAATATTTATTTTTTTTACGTGTTCATTTTTTAACGTGTTCATAACTTTTTTTTTTTACTAAATGTTCAATCTGAAGGTCATTCCAACAACTTTATGATTATATAGTAATCATGCTCATTTTTAATATACTAAATGATCATTTTTTTTTAACCTGTTCATTTTTTTAGTACTAAGGCCTTGTTTAGTTCAACTTATTTTTACTTATTTTAGAAAAATAAGTTCAAATCTGAAAAAATAAGTTCAGTTTAGATCAGATCATAGTTTTATGTGCAATTTTTTATCGCTAAATATCTTTAATTTCGTGATGAAAAAAATTATGAAAATTACATATTAATAAAATGCACATTATTACAAATCTAACAAGATTCACTTGATATATTTTTCCTTGCAGATTATCATTTACTTAAGGTCAAAGTTTGGTCAAATCAGACAATAAGATCAGATCAGACCAGATTAGATAAGTTCAGATAAGCAAAAATAAGGTGAACTAAACAGGACCAAAATGTGTTTTTTTTTTTTATTATTATTATTTTTTTTACGTGTTCATTTTTTGGCTATCGAATGTTCATTTTTTTTCACGTGTTTATATTTTTTTTTTACTAAATGTTCATTTTATATGGCACGTGCAATTATTTTAGCTGTACCAGTTAAGACCTATTAGCTTAGCCTTCCGCCCGTTATACTTGAGCTGCACAACCTTACCCTTGCCTTTTGTACTTAAATTTTCCATTTTGTTAATATTCTACTATTTTTAATTACACATTTTTTTTTCTTTGGTCACTAGTGTAACACTGTAACCATTTTTACCTCTTTTTTTTTTTTTTTATCACTCTTAATGTTTCTAGGCTATATTAGTTTTTTTTATTTAGTTTGTATTTTGTTTTGTACTTGTATAATTATTGGTAACAGGCTAACAACTAATATGATTTTTTTTTTTTTGGTCTTATAAACTAACTTAGTAGATAACACGAGATCAGTAATGGTTAACTTATTTTTTTTTTGAAAAAAGCCTACAGGTCAACCCTTGGCCTGGACTATCCCAGCCCATGGACTTGGGCTTTAGTTTTCAAATTTTGGGCCCAACCCACCCCATTTCATTGGTGATGGGTTGGGCCTGTGCAATTCTAAAGTTCATGGGCTTAGCCCATGGCCTGACCCAAAACCATCTTTAGGGAAAAGAAAAACTTTTTATGCAATGTATTCAATCCATGAAATACAAATTACGTTGCAGCATATATATAGTGTAAAATTAAGCTAAAAGTAAAGAATATGATCCCATGATTATTAGATCATGCTTGATTGAACCCACTATTATTATGACTCCACTAAACTCTTTAGAGATATATTCCTATACTTTAATTTAGGAGTTAATTAACCACTAATAACAACATGAAGCAAATATTCCAACACATCTCCTTTATTCAAATTGAGTCACAATGACTGTCTGATCTTCACGTTTAACCTCGACGGAAAGTACTTTTATTGTAATAATAATACATAATTTTGAGTACTTTTCTCCACACAACTGCACTTGCTGCACATATCTACAAATTTATTTGGAAGTTGTGAAGCACTTCTCTTCACCATGATGTTCATAACCATCACATACTTTTGTCAACCACTCTTGCCATGGTGATATTCTCTTCATATTTTTTTCACTCATAATAAAATAAAAGATGGCCTACATTGACTTACTTCATATTTTGTTTCTCTTCCAATCTAACCCGGCTATGATACCGTATTGAAATTTTAATAGAAAGATAAAAGAAGGAAAAACTTATAGCAAGTGAGAAACAAACTAAATTATTTTACTACCTACTAATTCATGATATACATGAGTCATTTAATTAGCCTAACAAATAACAATCTTGAAGCTAATAAAGAGGAAGCATGCATAATCCCATGATAAATACCAACTAATAACTAAATATCCTATGAGTCACTAACTTAACAAAAAGACTATAAAACTAATACTCCTAAAATTACTCCATCCAACTGTTGCATGATATTCCATATGTTGTAGTCTAATAAAGATACATTAGATAGACCCAGCTTCCTAAATAATAGCTAACAGACTTTTGAATCAATTACTCAACATTCCCCCTTAATTCAAAAGGAACATACAATTGTTAAACCTTGCTTGTTCATTTCAGCGACCCATATTGCATTGACTTGGATGACTTGAACACAACACACTTTTAGTCTCAACATGGACATGGAACCACACACACTTGACTTTGGAAAAGCTTGTTCTCTTCCTCTTCGACCTTTTGAGCATAGATGTTTTGTTCACACTTTGCTCATTTCTTTGTTTATCCCAACACTGGTTTTCTTTGTCACCATATCTATTACAGTAGTTGCGTTGAATGGTACTCATAGACCAATGTTGTCCTACTATATGGATTGAACACAACCCCGCCACTTTTTACACGACTAAGACCACCTCCATAACGACCACGACCACGACTATTTATACCACGATCCATGATCTTCATCATGATGCCATTCATTTTTTGACATTTGCCCCTTAACTTAAAATGCCTTTTCTTCAAATTCTTCAGTAATCTTATCTATTCATTCTTCATGAGCCATCAAGGAACTCATCAACTAATCAAATGTTCACGTTGATAAGTCCTTAGACTCCAAAATTGTTGTAACGACATGGACAATTCAGGATACTCTAAACAAGATACTTTGGATAGTTTTTATATTTTAGATTGACATGCTTTCAAAACTACTATGTAGAGTTTGTAATTTAACTGCAATTACTTTCTTATCACAGAAATATTTTTGATTCAAAATTTCTCATGCTTGCTTAGATGTTAACCCGGGGAAAATTCGTGGGAAAAATCTCATCATCCAATGCCGATTGAATGAAGAAAAGAGCCTTTGCATCTCTTTGCTCTTTTCCGATTCTCCCGTAACTCATTTCAAAGAAGAACATAATCATTCTTTATATACTCCAAGTTGTGCAAAATTTTAGAAGAATAATAGAAAAATGCATATTATGCATAAGAAGTTGATTGTTGATAATTCAAAGGTGATTTATTTTTATGTGCTAAATAATGTTTTCTTTGTTATGATTTATTATGTTCTAAAGTTGATACTTAATCATAGTATTTTTTTTATTTTTTTTATTTATTTTTTTTTTATTTTTTGGTAACAGGTAAATGTTGGTCCTGTGAGGTCTTATACTATGATGAAAGAATTAGTTGGATCACATGATAATGTTGGTGCATCTAAACAAGATTTCAAAAAAAATTTATAGAGATTTGAAGGCTTATGTTGATGGATCAGATGCCCAAATGTTTGAGGATAATTTTCAAAATAAGAAATTGCTCTGGAGTGCATTTATTTTTTCCTATGATGTTGATGAAGAAGAAAGACTTTGTAGAGCTTTATGGGCTGATCCTATTTGTTGAAAAAATTATGCACTTTTTGGTGATATGGTTTCTTTTGATACCACATTCAAAACAAACAGGTGATGTTCTAAATGTAGATTTATTTCATAATCTTACTAATATTTTACTTTTACATTTTAATTTTTTAAACATATGTTCTTATATTCTAACATTATGTCTTGTGTTCCTAAACAAATATCCATCATGTTTTGATGTTCTAAACTATGTATGTCTTATGTTCTAAACATATATTGCTGATGCTCTAAACATATATGTCTTATGTTCTAAAATATATCCATCATGCTTTTATGTTTTAAACATTATGCTTTTGTGATTTAAACTTTATGCTTTGTGTTTTTAACTAATATTCATCATGTTCTGATGTTCTAAACATTATGTCTTGTGTTTTAAACATTATGTCTATATGTTCTAAAGTTTACTTATTAGGGTTTAAAGCTTCACTCTATATTCTAAGTTTATTGTTTATGTTT